TTACTTTATCATCCTTGCTACACTGGATATGCTTTCTTGGAAAGGCACAAAAACGAATTTACTTTGTACTTAAATTTACTCCCACCTGGGAGTTTAGAAATTATCAAAAGGATAACATATCTTGCCTAGCCAAAGAAATAAATAAATACCCACAAAATGTCTTCAAAAAGTACATTCGCCGATATTTGGATCAAATATTTCAATTTAATCAGCAAGTTTGGAGAGCAACTATGCTCAATAAATTTAAGAGGCCGAAATATTCGGCAGGTGAAAGAGCTAGCTTTGTTGACATTTCCACTTGGTCGCAACACTTTCGTCATTTTGTTTTGGATCATCTAAATATCGATGGTGTCTTCTTACTCCGTCTGATTGCAAATAATGCAGGAGACCTGGCTGCACGCGAACTTATAGGATGGTTGTGGCGCCTATATAGAGCCCGTATTGATGGACCATCTGAGCCAGAAGACATCGGGGTAACTGAGATGACTTCATTTCCTGTTAAGAAGGATTCCCAATCCCAGACGTTTACACAACCACATATAGAGAGGATAAAAGACTATAGACCGACATCTACTAACCAGCCTTCAATGGATGCAGATTTTGTTTATACATATGAGTCAAAGTTACATATGCAGCCCATTTGGCCACCTTATGTTTCGGCTTCAAATATAGATGTTAATGAAACTTTATTTGATCAAAATATATTACCGAACAAAACGGAAATCAAACAATCAAAAATTCCTATTTATGCTTCATCATTATTTAAAAATACTAGACGACGCGGTCAGGCACCCAACCCTCCAACGCAAAATAACCATTCGTTGAATATACTAACCCCCCAGGATCCCTTAATTAGATCAAAAGCTACGCAAGTGGCAACTCATATTGCTAAATTATCATACACTCACATGGAGGAGAATGATAATCGAAATACGGACAAAGAAGAATCTAAAGCAGAATTAAGCCTTAAGAAAACTAATGGCACACATAGTAATTTGATAACTGGGATAGGGCTTAATCTCCCCATAAATGAATATGGGATTGAGGAGAATGATGCAATAAAGGCAATTGTGAAAATTAGTAGAGAAAGCGACGACCCGAAAGATATAATATTCAGCCATATTTATAATGAAAATGGACAAAATTTTAACGATTTCTCAAACAACCACGAGGATGGGACTACTGGAAGTGAAGATAGCATCGTGTAGAAATAATATTTATGGGTTTAACCTTATTAAACTATATGTAAACTGCATCAAGCTTCTGGAATTCAATATACTCTATACTCTAGACTTCCTTTGTATTTATTGGAATATACATATACATATATATATTCATATCATAGACAACAAAACATTCCTTTTTAAAAAATAATACAGCATTCTAAAGCTGCTTAGTGGCATAGGTGAAGATATAAGTGCGTACTACTGTTAACTTGCCACTTAAATAGTTATTATAAAATGAAGACAATTAAAAAAGGTTGTAATTTTTGTTATATAAACCGGAAAATAAATAAACAAAGTAACTCATATACTAATAATGACTATATTATTTGCAAATAAAACATTTTTCTCCTTTAATTGTGTGCCATTAATCATACGGTGAATCACGTGTTTCCTAATATATATACTACTTTTTATATATATCGTACTATGCATTATTTTAAAGTAGCATCACTAGCATTTTGTCCATATGTGCTATAGCTAAAAGCAATATGAACTTTAATATCTCAGCGCCCCAAATATTTTGTGCCAAATAGTAAATATTTCTTGAATTTGAAAAATAAAGGCACTTATGTGCATCTAATTATTTTTTTGAACTGAACTTTTTTCTCTTACTGTGAATATTCCTATTTATACTGCATTTGAGCCTTAATTATTTATCTTGCGATTTATCGTTTATCTTAGTTCACAATTCGCTCAATAAAGAAATCTGAAAAAGTATAGTGTTAAAACTAAGGACTAAAAACAATATAAAGAGCTTAAATCATGAGTTAAAAATAATTTATTATATAAATTGATTAGATTGTTTTAACCCAGCATAAAATAAAAATAGAAGCTATTATATTGATGGATACTCTATAGAATGGGATTTACACCTCGAAGCTGAAATGAGGCTATTAATATTGAGTTTTGTTATGCATGTTATACAAGCTTTACATAAAGAGATAAATTAAAATGATAATTATTAAGTTCCAATTTTTTATGAACTATGTAAAGAGTAAAATTTAGTCAAATAAATATAACTAAATAGAATACTCAGCTTTTATCTCTTAACCTATAATGTCATTTTTAAAACCAGAAAAAGACCTTACATTGTATTTTGAGCTACTGAATTTTTACTAAGTATGCCAAAGTGCTCATATTTATATATTTCATGGTAAAATGAGAAAAGTATTTTCTCATATTTATTCAGTTGTTATCGAGTTTGTAAAAAATTACTTAAATATCGGTAGCTATTCTGTATAAATTTTCAGGCTACATTATATACTTTGTCAAGATATATTTTTAAATTTCGAAATATTAATTTTTATTTATTTTAAAGGTGAAAATTTTAGTTGTCGACCTTAATTTAAATTGTATTTGGGCTTTATCCAGAGCCTCTACCAAGGCTAGGTCCTATGCATAATCTTGCATGTTGTTGGGCAATTGAGAATGACTTTAAGCAAAAAATAAGCATTGT